GTAGTTCTTCATGGGCAAGAAGAATCTCCAAGAATCCCATATAATGGCTCCACAAATATTTACGCCACCTTTACCTGCCTGAATTACCCAGTTCCGAAAAACGGATCCATTACGTTCATGTTGTTTATGTTGACACTCATTCTTCTACCGGCACCATGAAACTGAAACTAACTACTGATCAGATTATATTCTTTAAGTTGTCAAAGGTCTAGATAGGATAGCTTCTGGAAAATTCGAGCCTTCTCTCCTGGTGTTAACAAAGTCACATTAAGGATGTTGGCTTCCCTAGTCTATTTTTATTATAGATAAGAAAAAAAGCCATTTATAAATTCTGGAATAGTTTACAGAATGATAACTGTGTGATTATTATAACAATGAGGCAAGATGTGCATTCTGCTGAAGAATCAATTGCACAATCATAACCTAATTTTCTCTTTGAATTCAGGAAGTTCTATGCAGTGTTCGTAATTTGTTAGACAAGTTATATGTATGACTTGGAAATCCCAGGAGATCCTCATAAGCAAGAAACAAGGAGATTACCTTTAGAATATTTAACAATTTTACTGTGGTTTGATTTCCTCATTATTGCTGGATTTAGAGTTCCAGATTTCTGTAATTGTCTCTTAAGATCCAAAATCGTTTTCAACCTGTCACCTGATACGCTACAATATTTTCCATTTGGTGATAATCATCGAGATCTATATTATGGGAAAATAGTTATTGTGATAAATGTTACTAATGTTATAAAATAATATATATTGAAACATATAACAACATGGATTGAATTTATTTTGAGTCGCTTCATATAATTAGTATTAAAATTATGGATGACAAAAATTAACAAGACATTGCTATTTCTCTGAACATAAAAAGTTGCCGAATGCTTAAAGATTCACTTTCTAAAGGAAGAAATTATAGTGTAATAAAAGTTCTATCCAATGATACATCTGTAGAAGAAGTGTAATGTATAAATATTTCTGAATGCATCCCGTAATAAATTCAATTGTTATATAATATAACAGATTATTACTTTGATAAAAATAATACTTAGATAAATAACTTATTATGAGTGAGGGAAGAAGACAAAAAAAGACAAGAGAGGCTGTAATTTGCCTATAGAAGAAATATCTTGGTAAAGAAATGTTTAACTTAATCTAGTTCATACACACAAAAGTTGTTTATGAGAAAAACTATGAGAAACCACACATCAGCTAAACCATCCCCTCTTTTGGAGTCTGAGCCGAGGTGAAAGTAAATCACTGTCAGTGGTTTGAATCATTCGACTACTACCGCTCTTGCTGATGAAATTGACATACACGCTTGAAATAGGTTCCAAAGATTAAAATGTCCATGTTAAATTAAAATTTGTGAGTTCATGATCCTGTATAAGTAATCAGTTTTTGTAGATTACTGATTGCTTTTTCAGACCTTTTACGATACAAAGATTGACTTCGTATGTACAATTCTGAGGCCTCCTGGATTTACCTTCGTGATAATAATATTTATGAAATAAATAACTTTAGTTCTGACCTGCTGAAACTGACAGATCGATTTAAGATTGAAATTGAAGCATTATTTTATTACAACGTACGTTTTAGTAATAATTAATAGTATGTTTTAGTAATAACACGTTTTAGAATTAATCTGATTTGTCATAATTCAAGGAACAGATTGCACATATTATTTTAAAATATTTATTCTGCAATATAAATCATGAAAACATTTTGAAACACTTGAACTTAATGGATCTGTCTGGTCATATATATTTTATATTGTTTCTAATTTACATGAATATTCTCTTTCCCTTTAAGCACTTGTATAAATGTATTTCATTCTACACGTATAATAGATTAATTTGTTCCAGATATTAAAGAATTTAACCAAGGATTACATGCTTTTTTTCGTTAGACTATTAAAATTATTGTAGATAATCTGATGCTAATGCTTATTTGACAAGTTATTTTTCTTTCTGCTTCCATTAATTTTCCGCAGAATGTGTAATGGCAGAATTTAGTTTAAACTCATTAGCTGCTTTACTGAAGGCATGAAATTGATTCTTCGAGAATCAATATATTATTATTAATTGTAGCATTAATAATAACATATGCGAAATTTACTGCGAATTTCGAACTGCGAATTTTAATTTATCTACAAATTTTAAGTCGTTTTCACTAATTTAATTTCGTTTTTCCAAAAGAAAGCATTTTAATGTCCCACTTTTTTTATTTCTCTTAGCGGTAAATGGCGAAATGACATGAATTTTTATACAACAAATAAATTTAGCAAATTATTTTAGCTCTTTCGTTTATTACGGTCTTATATTTTACTAGATTTTGAATGAAATTTGCGTTTTCTTGAATCCGAATCCCAAAACATATTAGAATCTTTCCTTTCATATAAGTATGATAACGAAAAGATAAAGAAAAACGCTTATATTTAATATTAAAAAAATTTCTAAGTAAAATACAATTTGAAATCTGCGTTTAACGGTAAGCGAATTTAAGCATGAAGTTATAAGATCGTTTAGTTATAGATAACTGTCATATTAAGTTATATAAAACTGTAACTCAAAATCATTCAAATCATATTAGACTACCAGGATCCTGCCAGGGTTTTAGATAGATTTTTAATTAAACTTAAATTTAAGCAGAAGGGACTACTTGACCGTACAATCAACTCTACTCCATTTGTGGGTGTAAAAATAACATACAGTTGAATTTACAATTTGAAAAATATCATAGCCGGAGAGTACACAAATTTGGCCTAATTAATGGCTCGATTTAACTTCAAGCAAATGACTAATGCCTGAATATTAACTGGCAGAACTGAGCGATAGAAAGTAAAGGTACGAGCGTTGCTCCCCAAAAACCTTCTACCTAAAACATTCAAACTCCTTGCCTTAAATACTCTTTAGTCTCATTTGCATCCTGGTGAGGGCTAACGGAAAACAGAAGTTATAGTAAAAATCCAAATGATAAAAGTTGATTAATTTGACATATCGCTTTCTATAATCTTTGAAAAGGAGCTTAAGTTTACTAAAAAGTGACAAATGAACTGTAGTAAATGAAGGCTATATATAAAGCTCTTGAACCTTGATTTACTTTCTCAATATAATTTAATAAAAAATATTTGAATAACAATTAAAATTTTCGTATAATCCTAGTATGACGCGTTTTTGAAAATTGTCGCCAACATCTAATTCACGGGTTTACTACTCTGCATAAATGTTGTGTTTACTGCTCATCACACCGTCGCAAAAAGTCGCTAAACACCGTGTGTACACTATATTAGGATTAAATCAATTTTTTACATATATTTTCTTAGAATTAAAGTAAGTATAGATTTTAGAGACATTAGGTATTTTTTTGGAAACAGCAAAGATGAAAAATTAACAACGCCTTCCCGGGAATCGAACCACGGACCTCTGGAATACATACTCGGCGTGCAGAACCACTACACCACGAAGGCACGCTAGGAAAGTGGGAGAAATGCCTTATATACATCCCTTTTTAAAGGACGACTGAAGTTTTCAGGGGACCCAATCGTCAGATTCTGGGTGCGGAGAAACTTCATCAAACACACTTTTTTAGTTCGGGCTCCACTGTAGAGACGTTAGTTAATTGAAAAAGCCGGAGAGATAAAACATTAGCAACCGCCTTTGCCGGGAATCGAACTACGGCCCTCTACCGGCCCAGAGTGCAGAACCACTACACCACGAAGGTACGCCAGGAAAGTAGGAGAAAGACCTTATAAGATTATGAAAGACTATTTCAAGAGTCAACATAAATATGCATTAAACATGGAATGCCAAATTCTCTATAGAAGTATAAGACTATGGGCCGCCATGACGTGATACTGATAATCCAAGTATCACTAAAAATTACAACGATAGCTTTTTTTTTTTTCTTAGTGAAAGCTTTTTTGCGATGTCAAGAAAGTTAATCATTGCAAAATTTCGGGTTAAAGCTTTTAACTGTTTTGAATTACAATTTGAAATATTTTAATGGCAAAAAATGCGCGAAGAAGCGGCCTCTCGAATCTTTAATTTTTTTCAAAATTCATCTATTTCAAGACATATTTGCCAGACTTAAATGTCCTATGCCTAATGAGTACTTCTTGCTCTAAATACATAAGCAATTTATGTATAAGCATTAAGAATCTGACTTACAGTATTTTTGTAAATATTCATATATGGTGAATACTAAAAAAAAAAAAGAACTTTATAAAAAATAATTATAAAATTCAGAATATTAGAAAATCAGAACAGAATACATATTACTTCAAATTGTAAAATACATATTACATTACCTTCGAGTCTTAGAGTGAAAATTTTAATATTATACTGACATTATGACTATGTTTATAATAAATCTAGTGTGAAATGTATCATATTTCGAATTACTTCGAAATACTTAATGAGAAATAATGATCTGCGGTTCTCTCGAAATTTATTTCATTAGTAACTATCATTTACCGTACGTTGCTGTAATCTCTGAAGTTCTTTATATCAAATAGCGATAATTGCTTCAGCACAACTGTTACACCGTCGGGGATTACGTTTATCAAAAGATAACCATTAAGTTCATCTGAACCGTTTTCTCAGTGAGAAGGTTCTGTATACATGGAAGTTTCTGTAATTTCTTCTAGTTGATATAATCTAATTTTCCTTAAATTCCTTTACGTAGACGGATGCTAGGCAAATCACCTGAATGTGCGAATGTGTTTATTATAATTAGGTACCTGCGCTTTTTTACCGTTCTTGTTGCCATTTTTATCAAAATAGGGTTTGAAATTTGAGCATGTACTAAGGAAAGGGTGTATTTTATATATCTGTTACTACTTTTTTTAATTTAGTTCGAGTGGCAATAGCGCTTTTTTAATTATTTGAATACCACGTTGGGGACTACTATCCCATTTGCTACAGAAGTATGTTATATCAATTTAAAATATTAAATCAAAGAATTATGCTCCCAGCTAATAGAATCTCAATTTTATTATAGATGGAGCGCATTGTAGAACGAATGCAGGATGAGCAGAATGGTGTGCCTGTCAAGACGGTTAAGAGCTTTATGTCCAAGATTCCCAGTGTCTTTACAGGTAAGCTTAAACTCGATCTATTCCAGTTTATTGCCACATAATACATCTGCGATAATATCTTAAATGGATCTCTGAAGGAAGAAGAAATTATTCTTATCACTGTATCACTTGTAATAGGATCGATTCCAGTTATTTTATAAGTGTTAACATCTTTAGTCTCTATGTTATTAGTACTAGAAACTGTAGTTTAAACATATTGTTTACTATAATCTAATTACGTAAAGCCATACTGAGCTTTCATACTTAATAGTATCTGGCAGTATAATTAGCTTATTATACATTGTGACATTTGGCCAGTATTCCTGAAGCGCTTCTCAGTTACTATCTACTACCAGCTAGTTATATATAATTTCAGTCTACTGAAATCCCTTTTGGATGTGATTAGCGACATCATAAAGAAACTTAATAAGCTTCCTTTGAAACCTTAAAAAAGAAAGGGTAATTTTTTGGTGTATATATAATTAAAAATATGCTGATGTAACTGAAATTCCTATTAATTTTCACTACACTGTTAGTGTTTATCTTGAATATGCTAGTGTAACTGAATTTTTTTACTCTCACTGTACCATTACCATTTTTGCTATATCTTCGTAATATTATTAGGAAATTTTTATGCAATCTAAGCGAAATACACCGGGCGTTTACACATTTTTACAAAGATTTCCGTCAGGAATTAATATAAAAGTGTTTTGGTGTAAGCGTTTTTGTTAACAGCTTATTATCTGAAATGAGAAATATCATTTGCTACTTTTAAATGTGCTATTCTTTCAAAATGTTGCATGTGAACAAGCTGTGGATTGAAGCATATATTTTTGCTCTTTCCGAAGAGAAATATTTCTATTCCATCATTGAGAAACGTTTTAAAATTCATATTATTAAAATTTCTAAGTGCAATATAAGCAACATTATTAATTAGAAAGGGAAAATTTGTCAATTATTGCTTCTACATGGAAAGAGGATTCCAAAGGAATACTGGAAAAAAGTACGTACTGTTCCTAATGTTTCTAAATTTGGAACTTTGGTAACTAGAGAAAAATCTGCCGACGCCAAACTCAGTTGCGAATCCTTTAAATATATCTGTAGAAACAGTAAATAAAATAATAATCCAAAATTTAGAAGTTAAAAAAGCTGCATTCGGCAGCTCTTAAATGCTGCATGAGGCATGCGGCTCAACACAGAGCAATTAGTAGAACTCGTATGAAAACTACTTAGGTATAAACAGATAGGTAGGAAGATAAATGAAAGTACGTTGTGAGTCTCAATGAAGCATGTGTTTACACAAATGACTTCAACAAAAAATGTGCTATTTATTCTAGAAACCGAAGAGAAAAAAAAATGCAGATTTGGGATTGCCAATGCAAAGAAATCTTCAGTAAAGGATTTATGATTGTCGCAGGAATCTGTAGAATGGAAAATTAAAAATAAGAATAATGAGAATAAAATGTTAAAGTCAACTCAATATACTATCAAAAGAATGTTTTTCGTTCGATATTTACAGAAAAAATTCCATACCTTAATCCCAATGACTTTCACGAAGTGAACTTCGTCAAGGCAAAACAATAAGTATGGTACATGTATTGCACATATACATTTTCAATGTATTTCTGCGAAGCCCTGTGCTTTTTCATTTATGGACTGTTATGCCTATGGTCTCTTTAAAGCAGCTTTTTCTACATGCGTTCCGTTTGTTGATGCACCCTGGAATTGATATCCCAATTGCTGGACTCAAGAAAATATTAGAAGAAGAATGGAAATCACATGAATTGTAGCACAAATGTTATAAGTTGAAAATTTAAAGTGGTGTTTTAGGTACTTCGGCTCCCAAGACTGGATCGCTAATCAACCGAGATATAATTAAGATATAATAACACGCCGAACAAATATTAATTTAGAAGCCAAACAACAAAAATCAGCGTCATATTTTCAAATTTTCACAATGTGAAAATTTGAAAATATAACGCTGATTTTTGTTGTTTGACTTCTAAATTAACAAGCGAGATATGTTGCCACAATCTCGCCATGTGTTCGTATATCTCGCTACATGTAACATCTCGCTTGGTTTGCGATTAAATTTTGGGAGCTGGTATAATAAGAAAGTAGCGGTTTTTTTTTAAATTGTTTTATTTTGCTTTTAAATGCTGCACTCTAATTAATTGCCCTGTCTAAACTCGAATTTTAATATTAACTCTTAGAACAGTTTTAGAGTTAAACTACATAACTTTAAAATTATATTATTCTAAGTAAGATTCAACATGAAAAGTGTAATATATCGGGTGATTAAAACATCACTTCAGATTCGTAGTATTTCGACTTAAAATTCTTGTGTTAGCATTCTGTCATTGGCAGAAATAACTAAACATTAGTGACAGACGTAAAACAAAGGCATCGAGTTAAACTATAAAATAGTGCACGAAGATAAATAGTGCTCGAATATAACGAATACACTTTTGGAAGCTCATATAGGCAAATGATATCGGTCTTTATTAATTAGTAAATTAGCTGCAAATAATGTGCAAAATCACGAGTAGCCATCAATAATCATGATGAAAATGATTTGTTAAAACGATTCCAAAACGCGTTTAGCATCTATTTTTTATAATGAGGATGATGTCAATGTTGTATCATACTGAAAAGTTTTGTATTTAACTGCGATATCAGTATTAGTTTAGTGAAACAACATTTTGTTGAACCAATAATCAGTCATGGCTCCGATTTAAAAGGTCGCCCAAAAGAGATGTTTTAAATATATTAATATGGTTTATCAGTAGAGACTAAGTTCTATATCTTCTGTGTATTTGAAAAGTGAAAACATATATGACTTAATTCTACAAAAATGTTTGTTTTTAATTAGCTGTATCATGAATTCATTGGATTTTTATTTAAATCAATCCGATTCAAAACTGCATCTATTGCTTTTAAATACCTTAATATGCTGATCCATAACGGGCAGATTCAGTCTGACAGATCTATCTTACATTTTCCGCAATGACAATTGACTCGAATGAAAAGTGAAACAAACGCATTAAATTAAAACAAAGGAAAATCGAGACTAATAGCCTTCTAATGAACATGACATGTGTAGATTTCAGAAACGTTTGCACACTTCATTACCTACACACGATCACGCAGCCTGAGTCTCTAATATGTACTTAAATGCTTTGTCGACCGGTTGTATATTCCGGAAAATTAAGTTTATGAATAAGGCTCGAATAGAAAGACAAGTGATATTTAATATATTCTCTTCCTTCTGTTTTGGCCGTTTCAAAGTTTAATTAACATGATGATTACGTCTAGGTATGAGAAAATTACATAACTATTTTATCTAGGTTTAAGGATTCTCTGTTCTGTTGAGTTCAGATAGTTTCAACTGCAATGAAATGCATTTCTTATCCTATAGCATTCAGATACATTTGTGTTACATTTTATAGATTAAACTATTAATTTAATCAAATTTGAGCTACTTAATTTTAAAACTTGAATTGGTGTTGATTTTGGTCAGAAGCAGTTACTTGATCTAAAACTTAGACAAAGTTTTTCTTTCGAGATTTAAAAAAGTTGAAAATAAAAAGCATTCTTCACAGCAAAAGTTAGCTTTTGAAGTATACAAAGTTTGATACAGATTTTTTACTCATCGTTTATTTTTTCTCGTCTTTTCTTTCTTGATAAAATGAATTCATTTACGATTTATTAAATATCAACTGTGTAATCGTTTAGATTCGTCATAAATTAGATGGCATTTATTGAAGAACGACGTTATATTCAATTCTAGTGTAGCATTTTCGGAAGTTCTTTTTCTTTTAATCCATTTTTTTTAACATCAGAAAATTGGTGTGAAGTTAACTTTCATTAATAAATAAATCTGAAAGTATGAGGGGAAAGAAGGACTGAAACTTCTGCGTCTCTTATTTATTTAAACAGCTTTCGCTTATTTATTTAAGCGAAAAATTTATCAGATTATTTATTTTATGTTTTAACTTACTAGGAACATATAGAAATATGTTTAAGAAATGAAGATCTTAATGCAAGCAAACCTTAGTTCCAGTGTTTTGTGTTTCTGTAAAACGAAATTTTACAACTTGTAAAATGTATGTTTTTTTAGAATAAGAGTTCATATTTAAATTGAAAGTTTGATACAGATTTCCGCAGCTTTTAGAAAGTATGGGCGTCTCGTGAAATTTTTCGTAAACCGAAGTGGCGTAAAGCGAAGAAACAATTATCGTTAAAAAGTATTTCTCTGTTTATAAGAAGCAATTTTTTCTTTAAAAATTTCGTGTTTAAAAACTGATTACATCTTACAGAAGAGTGATGCTGGCGCTAAAGCATTGCGGCGAACGAAACCAAGGGTGAAAGGTTGTCGATGACACATATGGAGCGTGAAATAACTCTTAAAATGCCAAGGCCTTTGCCTTCGGAGTAACGATATTTAGTACACTACTGCTCTACCCATAATAGAAAAAAGTTAAAATTTTCGAAATAGTATTAAAAGAAAATTTAAATTAAGAACTGAAATAATTCCAAAAGATAAGTAAGATATTTTTTTAAACAAATTATGTAGAGCACTCACTTTTGCGAGACAGAAAGCCGTCGATTGTGAAAGTGCGAAATGCCAGTTTCAGTAGGGGAAAGAGGTAGTACACAAGAAAATACTAATTGTAATCGTATCACAGAAATACAAAGAAAAATAATACAATTGCAAATAGAGCACAGAACAAAATTTTAGAGAAAAATATTGCTCCAAATTTCCTTAATACCTGTGTGATTTAAAATGGCCATAGGCCGTTTTATATGTTTATATGGTATACATCTTTATAATCATAAATCTAAAATCATAAATCCATAAATCAGAATCATAAATCCTCAACTTAGCGTTGTTGAGAGTTCTCATTTTACGGTGAAATTTTTTGGCAAGTTGATAATAAAAATTTCCGAGTTTAACAATACCAAATTCTTCATGATATGTGTTGTCCCTAATGTACCAAGGTGCATTTCTAATTTGCCTC